GGGGGGGGCAGGGGGGTGACTATTGCTATAGACCTACTGAGAGGAACTCTGACCACGCACACGATATGCAACTGTCTCCAAGGTCAGTTGGGCTTTTCTTTCATAGAGAGCCGGAACAAAGGCTACAGAGAACTGGCTTTGGGGAAATGGGATGAACCGGTGGAGGTGGCAGTGATCACACTGCAGATCAGAATGCTTTACACGGAATCAGCCTATTTTCAGGAACGTTAGATGAGGAAGGGTTGTGTTGTGTGCTGGCTTGTGAGTGGGTCAAAGTTTAGGGGGCTGGAAGGAGAGAAGCTTAACAAAAGTTTGCTCAATTCAAGGTAACCGGTATTTTGTCCACGTTGGTCAGTGAGTACCAGTCAGCTAATCACGTATGAGGCTTAGGGATAGGAGTTTGAAGGGTCTGTGACTGATCTTGTCATAGGTAAACAAGAGAGCATCTGTGAATCACATCTAAATCACATGCGGAAGGTGGTTCCTTGCTGGGTAAACCCTGTCAGGAACACAAAGGGGTGGGGAGATTTCTTTAATTGTTTTCCAGGGTCATTGAATTCGGGTTCAAGTTCAATATTTCCATTACAGGGTTCAGGTTCAAGTTCAACGTTGTCAGCATGCAGGGGAATCCCTCCACCGATCCAGAGGGTGAAAAGGTACAGCGATAGGTAGACGCTGGGTTCTCAGGTGAAGCTCACACTTAGCTCCCTGCATTTTCCGCGCGGGGTAAAGAGGTGTCTAGCAGCGAAACCCGCGGCAGGAAGGAAGTGGCCGCCATACGCGCAGTTAACGCGGAGGCCGGACACCGCGGCCGCCTCCAGCCCCGCCCCCGCGCGTCCCCGGCCCCCCGCGCGTCGCCGGGCCCCTGCGCGCGCTCTCGGGTCTGCGCAGAGCTGGCTCAGGCGCGAGGGAGGCGGGCTGGGTCCCGGCAGCGCGGCCCGCGAGCCTGAGCGGGTGTCGGGGGACCACAGTGCTCCAGATCTGAGGAGCCCCAACCTGCCGGCGGCGGCAGCGCCCGCGGCCCCTGAGCGAGTTGAGGACGAGGCCGCGAGGGGACAGGGCGGCGCGGCCCCCTCCAGCAGCCACGCCCGGAGGTGAGTTTCCTAGCGCGGCGCCGCGTTCGGCTGGGCGGTCCGCTCGCCGCCGGGCTTGGGCGGGCGTTTCCCCGGCGGGGCGGTGGGAGTCGTTGGCTCGGACCGTGCCGCGCCGCGCCGGTCTTTGTCTCGGTGAGCCCGGATTTCGGAGGGTTTTGGACCCGTGTCTGCGACCCGGAAAGGGCGCCGTCGGGAGGCGGCGGGGCGAGACGCCTGCCCAGCCCAGGTGCGCGGATCTCGGCCTGCTGACTGCTGGCTTCCCGAATGCGAACTCGGTGAAAGCATATCGGTTGGTTTGCTTGTTCGGAAGACGCTCAGAAACTTCCAGTTCTGTGTTGTCAAAACGTCCCGGTTTCCAAAGGCCATCACTGCAAAAGCACAGTACGGAAATACGAGGCTTGTCTGTGTTGGGGGGACGTTTCTTAGGTAACTTCATTACCAGCCTCCCACAACTCACTTTATTTTGCAGGTTTGATGTTCGCTGTTTTCATATTTAATTTCTTTTTTTCGGTGTGTCCGTTTTTGGTTTTTTTTACTCTCACTTTATTGCTTGTCAGCAATAATGAACGTTTCTGTGGTATTCAGTGTTGGTTCCTTCGTGCGTAATTTGAGATCATTGAAAATAAACATGACACTGTTGGTGTCAATGTGGAACTGTAAAGTATGCCATTGTATAAGCGACGTGAAAATCAGCTTCCTTATTTCACAGTCCTAGCTCAAGTGTGTTTTTGGAGTGTTTATACGTTTTTAAGTTATAGTTTAATTTTAATGGGAAAAAACTCTTTAAAAGTTGATACTTGTTTTCTATCTAAATACGCTAACAGTAGAATTGATTTAAAAGGCAATTAAAGTCAGTGACTATTGAGCACCTATGTAAAACACTAAAGTTAGTGCCAGGCACTGGGGGAATCCAAAAATGAGTAAGAGCTGTGGGCCGGATGGAGGGAGTAATTAAGCACACAAAATTACAATGATACAAGACCAAATGTAGTATTAATAGAAACTACTACTTACTGGGCACTGACTCCTAGCACTGCACTGTGGTAAATACTTTACATGCATACTTTAATTACTTAATATTTAATGTTAATTAATAATTGATCATTCAAAAAAATTTTAATGTGCTGTGTGCTGACAACGATATTGATGGTGACCAATATAGATTTTGCCTTTAAGGACTTTTCAATTGTCATTGGGAGAAACAGATATTAAACAAATCATCACACGAGTAAATGCCAATGAACCTACATAGAAGCGGAAAAGGAAGAGTATATAGGATGTTGTGAGAACATATAAGGCGTTGGAGGTTCGGGGACACTTTTCTTAGCCGGGGAAATCAGTTCAGGTTTTCCTAGGAAAGTCATCTTCAAGCTGAGATATTATGGGATAAGTAGGAATAGATGAAAGTGACTTCCAAAGGAGGGAAGAAAGGTCCAGGCAAAGGAAACAGGTTCCCCAGAGGCTAGGGAAGACTGAGAACTGAAAGGTCAAAGCAGCTGGGTTGAGTGTAGAAAGCAAAAGGGGGCTATGTTTAGGGCTAGAGAGATGATGTGGGGCCCTTTAAGAAATGTTAAGGATTTGGGACCAATTTTTTTTTTCTTTTAAACTTTTATAGAGAAATTTTCAAAACACTCAAATGTAGTGAGAGAATAGTACAGTGAACATCCCTGTAATATGATCCAAAGGATTTGGACATTATTCAAAGAGCAATGGCAGGTCTTTGAAGAGTTTTAAGCAGGGAAGTCCCACAGTCAAATTTGTACCTGAATCAGAAAGGTCACCCTGACTTTTGTGTGGAAACCAGATTGGAGGGGGACAGGAATGGATGTGAGGAAACCACCTAGAGATGATAGTTGTGGCTGTAAAGATAGGGCAAATTCTAAGGACACCTAACTGACCTCTCCTCGCTGTTAGTAAATGTATATTTGTATCTTTTGGAGGAATCGTGCAAGTTTTCTAAAGGATATTGTATTTGAAATGAGTTTTGCAAGGTAGGTAACATTTCAATATGGAATCCTGGAATGAGAATATCTTGGGTGTCAAAGGATGGCTGACTCAATGACCTTGATAATCTCTGTGGAAGTTTCATCTTTCCCCTAGGATTTTCTCATCTAAATTATTTGTCATTATATGGTCCTTGGGAACATATAACTCACTCATTAACATTTTTTTCTGGAAGACACAAATGTATGTTCTTTATTACCATGATAAAGTTAAGATAAGCTGAAACTTTGTAACTTAACAGTAAACTAGAATTCATAAAATATACAAATGAACTGTCTTTTAAAGTGTTTGATTGTGATGTTACCATAGCTTGCACTTGGAGGTGTAATCGTATTTCACAAGGAACTCCACAGGAAATGTGATCCATTGGTTTGTTTTCCTTTGTGTTTCATGCCAGGAATGGCTTTATCCTTAAGAAGAAACTTCAGCTTCTACATCAAGATAGCATACCTAGTGGTATATATTGATACAAAGCCCTATCTTAAAAAAAAAATGTAGCCTGTAATATATGTGTATAAAAAAGGAAGATTGGTAATATGCACATTTTTTTTCTATTCAAATTCTAATGTATACATTTAAAAGACCACATTTCTTAGTAGTCTAAATCTATTTTTTTTGAAATGTTTGTAAGAGTTTATTTGAGCCAAAACTGATGACAATTGCCAGGAAGCAAGCTTCCAGTTTAAATCTATTTTGACTGGTTTTTCCTTTTAGTGGATATGTTCCCAAAAGCTCAGTCTACTCTGTCTCCTGATTGATTTTATCACTGCAGTTGTTGGGAGTAAGTGGGATAATATTGGGGAAGGTGTTTGGTAAACTGTGATATACAATACATATGTAGTATAGTAGTGGTACTAATTGGAACTCACTGAAGCAAAATGAAGAAATTGTTCATCTGTCCATTCTGAGGCTCACATGCTGGTAACTTAGGTATTTGTCGGAGGGCTTTTTTTATTCTCTACTGTACAGAACATGACTTAGGTTTCACTCATGTCTCCTGACTGTGATGATTGTAGAAGCTCACTCAATTGATATAAATAAATTTTACATGGATCGTTCACATATTACTAATTTATGATAGGAAATGCCTAAAATAACGGTGACTTTATATCCATATTTTACTTCATAATTCTATTTCATGTTTATAATTAGTAATTCAGTATGTTTTTTTTCCTGTAAGTCCCTAAACTCACTGATAATAGAGACTGTGTCTGTCCTATTGACCCTTCTGTCATAGATTCTAAACCAGTGTCTTGCACACAGTGGTGGGAGAGTTGAAATATTTTTAACACTTTGTGGAAATCTGGCTTGATTATGTCTTCTTTGGGGTAAAGTGTTTTTCTTCAGTTTTAAATCTGTAGTCTCTAGGACCTTGATATAATCAGCAATCTGTCATGACCTAATAATAACATTTTCTTAACTGTATATATTGTTTTAAGCACATGTAAAAAGAAGTTGTAATATGGTTTTCGGGTGTCTTTTAAAAAGTCTACTCATGAATTAAAACTAACTTATATAGGTTTTATAAAGCATTGCACCCTAGTATTTTTTAAAGCTTATTTAATTTTAAAACATTAAAAAGTAATTGAGTTCTTTTTTCTTTCTCTCCGTAATCAATTTGTTTGTGTTTTCCTTAGTTCAATAACCAGACATTCCAGATTAAGTAACACAGACCTAAATTTTCTACCTTGAATTTTGACAACTGATAATTTTAATTGTGCAATACGCAGTTCATAACTATCGTGTGTGCTGGACTTCACATGGCACATCCACGCACTACTAAAATTTCTGTGTCCTCATTGCCTTCAAGCCAGGACTCCACCAAATGTCTCCTGAAGCTCTATTGGTTGTCTCTTTTGCAAATTTATCTTTATACTAACATGATAAATCTACTTCTCATGTTCATCACTTTAAATATGAATTCATATTACTTTTTGCCACTTCAAACTTATAATTTGGGGAGTAAGAGGCACATTATTTTTCACTGAGGATGCAGATCTCTGGAATTACTGCTATTCTGGGATTACTGAGTAATTTTCTGAGAGAGCAAAAGTACTGCCTTTGAAGAAACTACTGAAATGGCATTATAGGACTCCGTGTGTGTGTGTGTGTGTGTGTGTGTGTGTGTGTGTGTGTGTGTGTATATATATATATATATAT